GTCCTGCTAATATTCCAGACTTTAAAAGGGATCACGACTACGTGTGTGTTTTATTACACTGTACTTTTCTGTGTGTATACTGGGTTTGATGAATTTTCAAGGGGTAAAAGAAAAAATGAGAGCAGAACTAGTCTAAACAGAAACTCATGGGTGATAAATGCCATTGAAAATGCAGATAACATTTTCCTGACCCAAAAGTCCACTTCAGTGAACATGACGACTCTTCCTCGTTAGTATTAGGTAGGTAGGTAGGCATTCCCTCTTCATCATATAAAGCCTGCTGCTATGGTGGAAGGAAAAAGAAAAGGGCTTCCTTCTGATAAACCATGACTCCTGAAGAAAAAAAAAAATCTGCTTATGAAATAAATGGATCCAGCATGCTTTTGATGACCTTTAATTCATGCTTTGCCTCGTCCACCTGGAACTGGGCCTTTAGAATGTTGTTCCTATCGTGTGTGTTCTCCCACCTGGGGTAATTCCTTCCCCAGAGGGTATTTTAAAGCTGTTTCTGCTTCCAATGTTAGCTGGCATTATGACCATATATCATTCTTATTTTTTTAGACAAGGAGGAATTAGGAACTTTCTTAAGTTGGGAGGTCCAGGGATGCACCAGGGGTAACTAAATCCTGCCTACTTCGGTGCCCCCTGTAGCTGCACTTGGACATGGTCCTTCTCTTCATTTCCCACCCTAAACTAGTGTGAGGTGCTGCTCTCGATGTTCAACAGCTGTGGGGCCCTCCGCAGGCAGCTGCTGCTGGAGGCCATGCAAAATGAGTCTGATTATGCCTGGCGCCTCAGCATTTTGGCTCTAGGCTCTGGATTCTATGACATGCTCTAGTGTACAGGTAAAAATTACATGCTCAGATCTTGAGATTTGCTTTCTGCCTCTTCTTTTGTAAACATCTAAGACCAGCATTTTATGGGAAAGTTCAAATTCTTAGAAGCACAGAGATAGGGATGTGTCTAATCAGCTGAATGTCTTGAATATTTGCCAATGAACCAAAGAATCCAAACCAAAGAAATTCAAAGAGAAAATGGGATGCAATATTGGACCACTCTGAAATCAAATTGCATGGACAAGTGTGTTATTCTGTCTGAAGTTAGCAACATATCTTTAAAAAGTGTTGATAGTAAGGGAATGAGGTGTAGGGGTTTTGTTTTGTTTTATTTTCATTTCTGGAATAATTTACTTAACATTAAATATAGGAAGAAGGATTTTATTAAAAAGAGAAAGAAAGCTTCTAGGAAAATAAAGATAAAGAGGGATATAGAGAGAAATGGAGATTCAGAGAGGCACAGGACACAGGTAAACAAAAACAAGATAAAAAACAGAGATGGTGGGAGACTAAAAGCAAAGCCAGTCTGTAGGAAAGAGAGAGGAAGATGGTGGATAGGAAATTTCCTTACCTTTTTTCATTTCTTTTAGGTTAGATGTCAAAATAGAAGTTTTAGCACTTTTCAGATTGATATTGTACTTAAACTTATTTAATTACTGCGATGGATTGCATACTTACCACCAATGGCCTTGTTCTCACTCGCCCTAACTACTAATGGGCTGTAAATACAGTCTTTAAAAAATAACCCAGGTTTGATGTGGATTTGTGTTCACCTGTGTTAATGACATGCCAGGGAAATAGATTAGCTGCTGTCTGCCTGTGACTCACTGCATTATGCATTTTACCACTGACCTGGCTTGGCCTATTCCAACTCTGACTGAATGCAAATCCAGGTTTTTGTCATCTAAAGGAACATTTCTAGCAAAAGAGAGCTTTTATAGCAGGAGCAGAAGCAGCTCCAGTTATTGTTTGGTAAGCAGTTGTGTGTCCTGAGGGACTGTTCCCAGCCTTGAGTAACTTCAGTGGGAAATAACTAAATAGCTTTAAAGGGATGGAAGGGGAGGGGAACAAATGGGTTCCAGGCAGCAGAAGAGTTACAGCATAATTAACTCCCAGACTGGCTCATTGATGTACAGCAGGGCTGCACAACCCTCCCAGAGCTTCCTCCTCAGCTAGAATTAAAGTTTAATTCAGTGTCAAAAGGGCATTAGGAAAAAAAAAAAGTACTGCATAGGACAATGGGGACAAGCCAGTGAACTTCATGGAGAAGAGATCATGACATGGCCATTCTCCCACACAGTTTGCAGAATGGGCAGATTTTAAGGCGTGCCTGTTGGATGGTCTGAAGTAGACTGAAGAAAGTCTGAGTCTGGGCCATTTGGGAGAGAAAATGATGGAAATATCTGCCTGATGCCTGGAGAAGCTATTTGTTTTGACTACTGCTGCTGCTATTTCCCTTAAGGTTGGAGCACATAGAAATTGTGGAAAATCAGTGCCCAGAGTGGAGAAAAAACATTCTCTTCAAGCAACTGGGAGGCTGTACTTGGGCATCCTGTGCCTCTGCGCTCAAGACAGGAAACCCGTTATCAGCGGCTATCTTGCATATTTAACACCAGAGCAGATCATTTTTAGTACCCTCTCCTCTACACCATAAAATTATTTCCATCAATAACCTTGAAGCAAAATTTAAACTAAGGGCCAGAAAAGGCAGTGAAAATTTTCCCTTATTATGCTTGGTATGTATAATCTTAGCCAGAAAGAAAGAGAATTTTTTATATTACAAATTTGTACATAAAAAAAATGTGCAACATTTTCCTTCAAGCATTTTATATTCACCTTTCAGCTTGAATTTTGATCTTTTTTAATACAATACATGATTCATACAAAGAATTGTCCAGCAACTTCCAAGTAAATTTCAATAAACCCAAAATGTCTTCAAAAAGTATAAGTCAAGCAATTCTTAAATTATAGTAATATTTTATTTACTAGATTTCTTCTTTATTTTTAAAATAAGTCATAATTTTTAAAGGAGGGTACATTTAATTTTAAAGATATTATTCACACTTAGTAAAAATACTCCATGTATGAACTAGTTTACACTTGACAGAGATATGCCTCGTAATTACGTCCCATACTTAACAAAAACATAATTAACAACTTGAAAATTGTTTCAAATTTTAAACACACTCAAACTGTTCACATAGGATGACAGAAATGAGGCAATTCCAGTTCTGTTTCTTTGTTTTTTGCCATCTTTGTTTATTTGGAACCCATTGTTCAAATGCAGGAATACGCAGTACAATGGACAATGCAAACTCAAATGATTCCAAGCCATTATAAACTAATTCTCCAAATAAAAGCTTATTCTCATTTAACCAGGAAGTCTCTGGATTAACTTCATAGAAAACAATGCTTATTTAAGACAAATCATAAGATGTGCTGATTTGAAGAGTGTGTGTGTGTGTGTGTGTGTGTGTGTGTGTGTATAAATTCAACAGTAACCATAACTATTGTCTAACATTTAGTTCATTAATTAAAATAGGAAAAAGTATTTTATCAGAACATCATTTAGAATTGGGGGCACAGGATGATAATATGAAGCAGATCCCACTTCCGTTCATTTGATTGTTGTTTTAAATGGCTTTGAAGATTAGCACCCCTGTTGCTGTCATTGGGTGGTCCTCTTCCACTGCTCTGCCCTAGGTGTGCATACATCTATATTCTTGCCCATGATCCCAGCCAGGCCCAGGATAATCTCAGCAGGAGCGGCCCAGGGCATCTTCACTAATACCAACTATGGTGAGGAAGAAGAAAGGTACTGGGAAGGAGTCTCCTGTATCCAGCTACTTCTCCTGTCAAGCCCTCAATCAAGAATTCCAGTCACAGTGGCTCTTTCATTCTTTCCAACAACTCTTCCAAGGAGGGTTGTAATTCCCAGTATTTGAACATAAGAAAAAGTAGACTGCTAGAAATAATGTGACTTATCCAGTAGCGCACTGCTTTTAAGTGGCAGAATCAGGATTATAACCCACATCATGCTGCCCAGAAAGGAGGTTTGAATTACCTCCTGAAAGGGGCATAGTGTAGTCTGTGGTATCCATGGATGACCCAGAATTCCCTGACCGTGCATCAGTTCCGAGGATGCACGGCTGAGAGTCATGCTGCTCTAAGTAGAACAAACCCACCTCTCTGGGGTTCTTTCCTGAGTTAAATCAATCGCCCCTCAGACACTAACCCAGTACCAGGAGAGAGTCTCCATTTGACTCACGAGATAGAACAAGTTCCATCAGAGGGTTTCTGAGAGTGTCACCTAGCTTGCTTACTTGCTTTCTCTTTTCTTTCCTTCATTTTGTCTTTATATCTTCCCCTTTCTCTCAATTTCTCTGTCTCTCTTTCCTTCTTTTTTCTTTCTTTTTTAACCTACTTCCTTACTAATGTTAGTATTTTGGGTGAAATTGCTAGAGCTATCACATTAAGAGAATTTCTCATTTGGGACCTTGCATATTACAAGTAGCTCCAAAAAGCTAATGAATCCTCTTTACTACAAGCCAGGGAACATCTTGCATCTCTCTTTCTTTTCTCTGCTTCATTAAAAAATGATAATCTAACCTATGGCCAGAGTCAGAGGTCTTGCTCACTTGTTAGTATTGATTAGTATTTATAACTGGTATAGTGTTTTCCTCCCCCTACATAGTGCATATTGCAATTTCAAGAATCATGCTACAGGAAGTTTTGGATCACATAATAAGTGCAAGATTTGGCCAAAAATGAACCTGTATTTAATCTCATTCTCTCTTCTGTCTAGTTCTAAGGAGAACTGTTTTGTCTCCTTTTGTTGTCCTTGTGTATAACCAGCTTCCTCCCCAGTCACCAACAGGGCACAGTGGCATAGTTGGAGCCAAGGACAATCCATGGCAGAGCCTTCCCTGAGCTCTGTCTCCTCTGGAGGATGCCCTTGACCCGCTTCACAGCAACAAGACAGGTGAGTGAGGAAGACCAAAGCAATTGAGTGCTTCCTCTCCCCACTAGCCAGCAGAGGGACAGTATCATTATCACCATTTTCATCTTTACTAGCTAACTTGTTCCAAACCCATAGGAGAAAAACAAGCATCTTCAGAATATGTGTCAGTTATTAAGTTCAGCTGCATATAATACTAGCTTTAGTAAGTGACTTAATGACATATAAGTTTATTTTTCCACTTTCCAAAGAGGCCTTCCTTGCATGGCAGCCCAAGGAGGTCATGACAGATACATAGTTAGCAGGACATCAGCCACATGTTCTCTTTCTTCTCCATCATCTTCAGCACATGGATACATCTCCAAGGTCACTGCAGGCTCCAGTGTGGCTGATGGAATGCCTGCCTCCATCTCTGCTTTCTAAGAGAGAAAAGGGAGATAGGGGGAAGGCAAAAGGCTAAGACGGTATTCTTAAAGATTCCTGGAAACCCAGCCAACAACTCCTGTTTATAAGAGCCTGGAAAATATATCTCTTTTTTCAGGTACAACACCAGAATGAAATTAGAGCTCTGTTCATGGGGAAGAAGAGGAGAGGTAATCCTGAGTAGGCATCCCACATCCTTTGCTACAAGCTAGGTGCCAGCTCTGAGCTAAGAACTTTATACACATTACCTGCTTCTTCCTCAAAATACTGCCACTAGACACATGCCATTAGACCCAGAGAAGTCTTGGGGATTACTAATGCAACAACTTGGTTCTATTCTGACACTGGAATAAAGCTTCAGAATTTAGAGAATGTTCCTCAAATCTCATTTAACTCTCAAAAACACCCCTTGAGGTATATGTTATTCTTAACTTGGTTTTTCTCTTATTTTTCATTTATTCTAATTAGATATATATGACAGCAGAATGCATTTTGATTCCTTGTACACAATTGCAGCGCAACTTTACATTTCCATGGTTGTACACGATGTAGCGTCACACCATATGTGCAGTCATACATGTACCTAGGGTAATGATGTCCATCTCATTCCACCATCTTTCCTACCCTCATACCCCCTCCCCCTCCACCCTCTTCTTTTCCCAATCAAAGTTCCTCCGTTTTTCCCATGCCCCCCATTATGGATCAGCATTCACTTAGCAGAGAGAATATTCGGCCTTTGTTTTTTTTTGTTTGTTTGTTTGTTTTTGGGGGGGGTAGGGAGATTGGCTTACTTAGTTTAGCATGATATTTTTCAACTGCATTCATTTACCTGCAAATGCCATGATTTTATTCTCTTTTAATGCTGAGTAATATTCTATTGTGTATATATACCACAGTTTCTTTATCCATTCACCTTTTGAAGGGCATCTAGGTCGGTTCCACAGTTTTGCTATTGTGAATTGAGCTGTATAAACATTGATGTGGCTGTGTTACTATAGTATGCTGATTTTAAGTCTTTTGGGTATAGACCAAGGAGTGTTTTTTTCCAGGGAGAAAGCTGAGGTCTAGAATGGTTTAAGTGATTGGCTCAAAGCCACAAGTTACAAAACTGGAACTAGCTCTCAAACCTCCTGATACCTGGACCAAACTTTCTTTTCTTGAAAAGAAATACATCAATGTTTATAGCAGCACAATTCACAATAGCTAAATTGTGAAAACAACCTAGATGCCCTTCAGTAGATGAATGGATAAAGGAACTGTGAGATAGATATATATGTACATACACACAAACATACACACAAAAAAAACACACACACAATGGAATATTACTCAGCATTAAAAGAGAATAAATCATAGCATTTACAGGTAAATGGATGGAGTTGGAGAATATTATGCTAAGTGAAGTAAGCCAATCCCCAAAATACAAAGGCCAAATATTTTTTCCGATATATGGATGCTAATCCATAATGGGTATGCGGCGGGCGGGTAAAGGAGAAATGGAGGAATTTTAGATAGGGCAAAGAGGAGGAAAGGGAAGGGAGGGGCATGGGGGTAGGAAAGATGGTGGAATGAGATGGACATCATTACCCTAAGTACATGTGTGAAGATATGAATGCTGTGACTCTACTTTGTAAAAAACTAGAGACATGAAAAATTTTGCTCTATATATGTACTATAAATTGAAATGAATTCTGCTGTTATGTATAACAAATTAGAATAAATGAATACATTTAAACTAAAAAATAAAAGAAAAAGAAAAAATAAAGATATAGAAAATTCAGGGAACTTTTTATATCATCAACCTTTTCAATTTTTCCAGGTTATTAGGAATAAAATAGTATCATCTTATCTTGATTTGCATCTTGCTGATTGCCAAGAAGCTAAAGTTTTTGAAATGCTTATTTGCTATTTAAATTTACTCTTGTTTGAATTGGAGTCTTTTTTTTAATCTTTTTTTTTTTTTTTTTTTTGGTGCTGAGGATCGAACCCAGTGCCTCACACATGGGAGGCAAGTGCTCCACCATTGAGCTACAACCCCAGCCCTGAATTGGACTCTTCTGTTTTCACTCATTTTCAAGTGGCTTCTTTTTGCTTGTAAGTATTTTCTTTTTCTTTATGTAGTTTGGATATTAATCCTTTGCCTGTTATATCTGGTGCAAATTCTCCCATCACTCTATCCTTATCTCTTCAGTGTTCCCTCATGCAGAAGCTTTTAATTCAAAATAGTCAAATCCATAAGTGTTTTTCTCTATAAGATGCAATTTTTTTCTACTTTAAAACAAACCTTCTCATTCTTGAGATAGGAGAAAGTAAAGAAATTCTCTATTTTGTTTTCATTGTTTTATTATTGTGTTTCTCATTTATTTTTGCATGTTGTGTGAAAATGAAATCTAATGTTTTTACTTGAAAATTCTCCTAGTGCCATACATTTAATAAAAGATCTTTTCCCCAACTGACACTTTAGTACCCCTTTTTGCATACATGACCAAGTACCATATGTGTATTGATCTGTTTCTTGGTCTTGTATGCTATTTTATTGATTTATTTTTCTACTCTAAGTTATCTTTCCTTTTAAGTCCTCCACATTAAAAATAATGCATATCTGAACCTGATGCCTACTTTCCTTATGCTAAGCAAGCCTAAATTTGGTAAGTGCCTGACAGTTCTCCAGGTAAGTAAGATAGAAGGCACACGGTCCCTTTGACTTCCAAGCTGGAGATTCTGAGGGCACTACTGAGGGGGTCTAGCTGTCAGAGTATATACCCATGTAGTAGAAGCAAGAATAAATTTGGAAGGTAGTGAGCAGGACAGAATGAATGTCGAGTCTACACCCACACCTCATTCTCTGACATCGCCAATGCCCACATACTATTTATGATCATCATTCTTAATATTAGTTGACCAAATATGCCAGTTTTTAATAATAGAAGTACATGAAGATTTAAAATCTTCAGTTTTAAAATCATATTAATTTTGGAAACTATTTGAATTCATATTATATAATGATCTGTAGTTTACAGCACATTACAGGGTTTGTGTTAGTTTTGCATTGCTCTGGAAAAAAAAATACCTAAGAGAAACAACTTCTAAAGATGAAAGGTTTATTTTGGCTCATGGTTTATGTTGGTTTCCGTCCATGATATGCTGGTAATATAGGTCTTGGAGATCAGGAACAAGCCCTCATTAAAAACCCAGAAATGTCGAGGAAAGTGTTGAAAGCTTGTTTTACTTAAGAAAAGAGATAGCAGTAGATTTCTCTGAAGAGAAGGAAGCCCAAAGCTGCATGGGGGTGGAGGGAGTGGGTTTGTCTTGCTCTTTTGTAGACCCCAGAACCACCCCCCACACAACACACACAAACACACACACATAATTTCTCTTTCTTCTCTGCCTAATGGCCGAAAGGAGCAGGAACACAGTGGGTAATGGCTAGCAATTTCCTGTGCCTTGTGCTGGGAAGTTCAATCCCTTCCTGGAGGTTAGCTGTTAGTAACCCATTGTCTTTTCTTTGATAACCAGCCCTCTTCTTCTCAAACTCCATCTCTGACTGCCAGACCTTCGCCCCCTGCCTCAGTCTGCTGAGGAATGTGGCATACCCTGTCCTCTCAGGCCATGTGTGCAGGCAGATTACTTTTAGGCAAAAGAAGTTATGTGGGGAGTCAGTACAGTGGGCTCACTTTGTAGAATTATTCTCTTAACCTTGTGTCCCTACCATCTTTAACTATCTGTCCCCTTACACTGGCTCTGTTGGTCCTGGGCCTGTGGTGAGGCAAAACATCTTGGTGGAGTGCATGGAGCAAAGCTACTCACCTCATGGCTGTCAGGAAGCAAAGCAAAAAAGAGGAAGACCTGGAGTTCTGACCTTCAAAAGCACACCCCTCTATAATCTAATTCCTCCCACTAAGTCCTACTTCCTAAAGGTTCCGCCACCTCCCAGTAGTGCCACAGGCTGGGGAACAAACCTTCCACATTTGGGCCTTTGAGGAACATTCAAGATCTAAACTACATCAGGGTTCAACTGTCTGTGCATGTTATGGTCTAGAGTCTGGCTCTTTGGGAAAGGTCTTCTATAGCAGCTGCACATATCACGGGCAGAGAATGTTAAGACTGGGCAAACATCTTGCTTACATCACCTCAAAGGAAGGAAAGATAAAAAGGAAATAGATCACTCATGGCAATCCTGAGTTGACCATATCAGTTCTCTGTCATTGGTCTGAGAACCTAGACTCAGTCCAGAGGACAGGAAAGTAGGGAGGGTGGGGACCAGCCAGGGGCAGGTGACTCACAGAGCCCAAATTTTGATCATCAGCCAACCCAACCATCATGGTGAAGAACGTGAGTCATGATTCTTAGTCAATATCAAGAAACAGCTTCTAGGTGATGAAATGTTTTGCAACTCAACATTCCAGTCCTATTTTTCATATTCTACAAATCATAGAGTACCTGATCTGTAAAATTTCAAAAGTCCTGCAGAAAACTCCTGCATGGCAGCATTAAGAATATACCATAGTCCAATCAGAAGACTAATTTCCATATTAGAATGTATTCTTCTACAGCTGGACTTTCTGTAGATAAGGAAGGGGGAAGAGAACTTCTAAAACACATTGTCTTTCTGATTCTGCTGGTGAGGTTTTACAAAATATGGCCATCAAGATGCTAACTGCAGAGTCAACATGAGTAATTGGCTGTCTCCATGGTTTCTGACATATTCCCTTTCCCCTATCTTTTCACAAATAAAATTTTGCATAATAGAGAGGTCAGTTTTATTCATTCAAGGAAACGTGAAACTATTTCTGATTGATTTCCTCTAATTTCTATCACTAAAATTATATAATATTTTAATTAAATCTGAATTTTTAAAAAATCTTTTGACTATAGATTCAAGGATATTTGTCTTTTAAAGTGTGTTTTTTTCCTCTAGTAAAGCTATCATGGTTCTTTGGGTCTTCACCAAACAAAACAAACTTTCTTTAAAAGGAGGATAATCCAGGCTACTCATTCAATATAAAGTGGAACAATAAGAAGTAGAATAGAGGATGAAATGAGAACCCCTTGTCCTCACTTAAAATCATGAAGGAACTTTCCCTTAACATCATCCTCTGATTCCATGTCTAGGGATTACATTTTAGGTAAAGCTGTGTTTGAACAAGATTCTCCCACTTCATCCAGTAATGAACCACCTTGGGCAGGATCCAAGACTAAAATACCTGCATTGTATTATGCATAATAGTGGGTCATGTTTATGCAGGGTCCCCATGCAATTATTCATAAGTTTTTATTCCTTTTTATTCCATTTCTTAACATGCAAACTTGACTGGCATGCTTACATCAATTGCTCTCTTTCTCTTGCTTTGTTGTGGTTATGTGTTTTAATGCAAACTCTACCTCCTGAAAGATATCCAGCTCCATGCCAGCTCTATGGAATCTGCAGATCTTCTCCCTAGAATATAAAGCAAGAGCTTGGGTTTAATTGGCCAAAAAATGCATTTGCTAAATGAGGCTTTCCTCAAATGTCACTCATTCATTCAGCAAGTCTTTACGGAGCACCTCTTGGGCTCCAGGCATTGTGCTTGTCTGTGAATACAATAGTGAATGAAACAGATGTACAGGACTCTTGCCTGTGTGATGGTTACCACACAATGGCGCAGACAGCAACAAGAAAATATCTAATTACACATTGTGTTAAATGGGGGTGGGAATAAACAAGACAGCAAGTAATGTGGTGGAGAAAGCTCTGCCTAGAATAAGCAAGGGACACCGTCGAAGGGTGCCAGTTAAACCAGGTCCTAAAGAATAAGAAGACCTAAGCATCCAAAGGGAAGCATGTTGGCAGAAAACCCACAGATGGGAAGGTCTCAGGCCATCTTCTCTCGCCATCTCTGCCTCTATTCCTCACCACCCCCATTAGCCTCCATAGGGCCAGTCAACTCCTTTCCTCCCAAAAGCCTTCCTGCACATCCACGCATGGCTGCCTCTTCTACAGCCTCCTTCAGCACCTCATCTGTCCCCCCCACCCCACCGACTCACCATTTAACCAGATGCTGGGTTGTATTGTCCTCAGATGGTTCCTGTGGTTAAACTCGTCTCTCCAACAAGTTTTGTAGACCCACCGAGGACGGAGGGCATGTGCCCCTTTTGTACCCCATACCATGTCTGCTGCAGCACTGGAGCGGAACTGACAGGGACAGCATTGAAATGAACTGAAGACGTTTAGACCTACAGGGGCAGGTGAACAGCCGTGGCTAAGCTGCTTTTCTATCTGCATCTGCTCACATTAGATGAAATGCAAATAGATAGGCCCCATCTCTCTCTGTTCTATTTAGCATTTATATGACACCTTTCAGCACAGAGAAAATGAGTAAGTGGAACCAGAAGTGGCTGTTCCATGTGCTCATCCCCTCACTCGACTCCAGCCAGGCATCTGGTCCCCACCTGCCCCTCACGTGCCCCTCCTCCCCAAAGGGGCAGGCTGCACACACCAGTGTTTTGCTTTCAGCACAGCTCTTCCCACAGAGCCACACACTGTTGAAAGAATGCATTGTCCGTGCTAAAGGGAGAACGCGGGTAGCACATTACAAATCTGAGCTGTTAAGTGATAAATGAGCAATGAAAAGCATCCTGACATCATTAAGGTGTTCCTGAACATGCTGTCTGCTCCAGCCTCACCCGCTTGCAACAGTAGGAAGGCAGAATTGCCAGCAGGGTCACCAAAACCTGGCTTAGCAGTCACCAAACTGGACCATTCCAACCTCATGAGGATTTTCTAGATTCTGTCAATTGGAGATACAGACATTTCATAGAAACTGGTAGATTCACATCTCTGTAAACTTTCTTAGAAGGTAGGGCTCCCTTTCTCCATGTGAAGGTGAACTTGCCTGTTTTACGGCTTAGAGTATTGCCAGAGTTTGAGGCAGTCCTTCTGCACTGCCTCCCACCCCAGGTTCTAGATGTCCACCCCCAGTCCTCCACATATGGACTAGTCCTCTGTAGAACCCAGACCACATCATCCACATATTCCCAGCTGCACCAGGGTTCAGCATGGACAGGGAGTCAGAGAGAGTGCCATTTAGGTGGTAGGTAGAGCAGCTCATGCAACATGTATGAGGTGGAATCTGCCAGGCCAGAAAGGGCATCTGTTTAAAATTGTAAACTTTAGAAGGCTGCCTTGGGGCCTGAAAGCAACCACTTCCTCTCACCCCAGAATGCTGTAGCATTCTAAGTCTCTAGAGAAGAACCTGGGTATTGGTCAGCAAAACCAGTGAGGAGACACTTATTTACTTTCAGGGACTCCAGAAGTCACTGGGGTAGAAGAGGCACATCACTCAACAACAGCATACCTTGGGCTCTATTCCATGGAGCAAGAAAGCATGTTTTGCCTATTTCGTGGTAACCGTTATTATTACCTGGGAATGCACGTGGTAGCCTGGGTAGTGACTGGAGATATGCTTCAAAGTCAGGTTTCGTAGGTACAAGTCTTATTCTTTCTCTTAATAGTCATGTGACCTTGGACAAGTCACTTAGCATCTTGACTTAGGTGAAATTATGGCATCTGTAACATCAAATAGAACAAGGATCCAATGATGGCAAAAGGAAAGGACTCAGCACAGTGCCTGGCGCACAGAGGGGAGAAGTGATCATTTAATCTTCATGGTAGACCTACTTAATATGTCGCCCACTGAATTATGTGCTTTATTTAATCCTATAACTTAATCCTACAATAACTCGAGAAGAGAGGGCCGGTGCTTAGAGCCACTATGCTGTATTACTTACGTTGTTTCCCTAAGAGAAATATTTTCATGTCAGTGGCTATTCCTGCCTGCAATTTTCCCTTGAAAAATGGCCCCAGGATGGGTGCTTCCTGAGGGGAAGCTTTCTCCATTAGCTCGACAGGAGGGGAAATGTCAGGGCAAGCCTTGACCCACCATTACCAAGAAATCAACTGTGGAAGTGAGCCATCTATCTCACGCCACCGGGCTGGACTCGGTGATTAATGGGAGACATTTAAGATGAATAGACTTTCTTGTTAAAATTTTGAAAATTAAAGATCTCAGAAATGTAACCCCAGAGAATGAAGGGGATAGGGCAGGGGGAAGGAAGAAGAACTGAATTCTCTTTCTAATTAACCTTCTTTCAAAAACCCAATCCCTTTCTGCCAAAATTTGGAGAACATCCTGTGCCTTGTCCATGTCTCATGGCTTTCCTTGACTCCCTTCTCGCCTCAGAGAAGACATGAATCCCAGCCAAAATGGTTATCATAGTATAAAAGTTACCGAGTGAGACAATAGAACAATTGACTACGCAGGCACAGGCCAGCAGCTAGATGTGGGAGACACTGGGAGATAAGAGAGTAACATGGACCCCCACAGGTATTATTGCTGTGGGTTTTCAGAACCCAAGTACACAGGCCATGCTGGTAGAGCCCAGAGATCCTTAAGAAAGAAAATATATTCAGCTGGACATTTCTTGAGACCAAGCTTTGAAAGAGCTCAGTACTGTCCCTGTCACCACAGCAAGGGACACACTGCCTCATTCTGAGATGGGCTCTAAGACCCGGCCACCCATGTTCCCAAATGTCACCACCAGAGTACCACCTAAATGAGTATGGCTGATGTTTATTGATCCGTGTAATTGTGATAAAAGTGCTGTCAGCCTTCCATTCAGATCACAGAATGGACACATGTGGAAAGGGATTCTTCTTTTCTGGTTTTACAAGGATAAGGAAGGAAGCCAAGCCACGCAACTGGTAAGTGGCGAAGCCAGAATCGGAGCCCAAGTCCTTTTCTTTGACCTTACAGTCACTGCTTGAAGATGAGGAGAGCAAAGAGGAAGGAGAAGAAGGGAAGAAAGGATGAAAACAGAAGAGGCGTGAAGACTAAAGCTGAACTTCGCTCTCACATGCTGCCTTAACAGCTGACAAAACATGGCGGGCCTCAGCTGGCCTGGCCAGAACTCCTCTCCCCACTGTGCTCCCAAGGATGAGGTCCTGCAACCAAATAACCCTCCTTTCAAAGAGGCCAGGTGCACTTCCTGCTTCTCCCTGAATTTCAGTTCCCTGCCAGCTCATGGAATTAGTCACATAAACCAACCACATCTTCTCTCCGGAAGCAGGAGGCACCCCAACCTCTTGATACTACAAAGTTGACCTCCCTATGATGGTTCATTCTGTTTCCAAATGCAATACCTGTGTGCCCTGCCTGGTGTGAGGTGCCCTCTTCCCCACAACCCCAGGGCCAGAATCCTTCCAGCACCAGTGGATGAAAAGGAGGTGATCAAAACAGAAGGGAACCAGATCAAGAGAAAGGGTAAAGGTCAGCCCTGAGATGGCCCATCCACAGATTCAGCCATGGGGTACCTGTGTGAGTCCATAGGCTGTGATGCTGTGGTTAAGAAATCTGGAGACAGATAACCTAGATTCCAATCCTTTTTCTACCCATTCCAGATGTGAGACCTCATGTAAGATACTAAATGTCTGTGTGCCTTCATTTCTCATCTGTAACACGGGGATAGATAATAGCAACTATCCGTGCAATGTGACATTTAAATAAAATAACCCATGTACAGCTGCTACAGAAAGCCTAGCCCTTGGCAAAAGACAGCTGTCATTAATATCCTAAACCCTATGTTCTGGGATCACTTTTTCTCTGAATCCACCCAAGAACCCATTGGCCTTTCCTCATGGAGCCTTTCTATTTTTACCTACCTGACTGCAATATTGCCTGTCTCTGAATCTTATGCAAGGAGTTTACAAGTTAACAACTTAGGAACCTAGTTCACCTATGCTGCCCCAAAAAAGAGCACAGGGATGAAGCACTCTGAAACTGCCACAGCTTTTACATGGGAAGGATGAGGGAGAATTTATTCTTGGAGTTTTTTAAGTGTGTTGGAATCAACAAACATGCTATAAAGCTAGAGCAAAGTCTACTGTTTATTAATGTTTGGATATTTATTCACCAATAAAAGCTCCCATTTATTGAGTGTTTACTATGTGGCGGCACAGTTACAAGCATTTAGATTGCCAACTCATATGCACAGCAACCCTCCAAGGTAGATGTAAGTATTGCCCTAATTTTGTAGATGAAGAAATCGAGGCACAAGAGATTCACCGATTCACTCAAGGTTCAGAAATTCTGTTGAACTGGGAGAGTCCAGGCCATGAGCTCTCTTCAAAGCACCCCCAGCAGGGTCTCCTGTGCTACTGGGGTCAAGAACTGCTTGACTGAGATAGCACACGATCCTGTGATCCTATAATCACATAATGCCTAGCACTGTAACTATTTTCTACAGATGTTTTATGTCTCCAATTAGATTATAGACTCCCAGGAGTGAAAAAGCTGAATAGGAACAATGTCCTAGAATAATTTGGAATCTGTTCCTTCAGTACTAGCTCCACTAGGCATTTCAGAGTAAGACATTTAATACATTGATGACTCTAAGCTTGGATTACAGGTTCTGTGAACCTCTGCTATTATGGACTGCCAATATTCTAGGTACTTTATATCAATTCTTTCATTTATTCTATGAAGAAAGTTTTACTAATGTTATTCCCATTGTTTAGATGAGCAAAAAAAAAAAAAGACAAAGGAGTAAGAAACACACAACTAGTAAATGGCAGAGAAAGTTGAGCAATGTGGTTCCTGAGTGTGATGGAATCCAGTATGATATAATAGAAGGTTTGGGGAATGGGAGAGAGGAGAGAGGGAGAGGAGAAACCATAAACAGGCAAACAGAGAGAAACAGAGAATTTCAAGTTGTAATTGTTAGTTAGAACTGAGGTAGCAAATGTAGACTAGGTGGTTTACAAAAGAAAAGAAATTTGTTGCCTCACGTTCTGGAAGCTAGAAGACTCCATCTTAGGCAGGGTCAGGGCTGAGGACCCTACACTAAAAGTTAACAAGATAAAAATAAACAGATTTACCTAAGTCTTAGGGATATGGGAGACTTTGGAAATGAAGACCCAAAGAATCAAGGAAACTTGAGTATTTTTCTGCTAAGTTTGATAAAGAGTGGATAGTTGTGAAAAAGCCGATTGGACAGAAAGGATGATCTAATGGTAATAAACTGGGGGAGCTTCTCGGGGCCTATTGTACATATCCTGCTCTGGTCCCTGTAATCAGAGATAAGGACATTCCTTTCTTCCAAACACAGGCAGGGTACCTCTCGTGTGAAGATCTTATGATCTACTTCAGAGGAAGGTCAGGAAATTCTTTCTAGAGTTTATGGTCTTCTTTAGTAGATAAGAGGTAGGGGAAGGTGAGAGCCACCTTCCTTTTTCTCCTGAATTCTGAAATGCCAAGATACCATATTTGACGTTCCAAGATTTGTGCAACCTTTGAAGTTCCTTGGCAGGTAGAGCCATCACCCTGCCCTCTGCCTTCATTTTGTATATACTGTCCTCCCTGTGAGGGTCGTCCCCAAACTTCCCCTTTTTTTGGAAAGATATCTGTGGATGAGGGCCCACCCTAGCAACATAAGTTGACCAAATCCGTAAAGATCTTCTCTCCAAAATACAGTCACAAATGAGATACTGGAGATGAGGACTTCAGCATATAAATCTGGGGAGGACATAATTCAATCCATCACATAAACCAAGAGTCATATAGGTTATTAAGCCAGAGATCCACGGGACCAAGAAAAAGAAAAGCCTGGAGCTGCCTGGAGACCAGCTCTGGCACATTTGGATGAGGATGGGCCAAACTTCAATAGCAACCAGAAAGCCATGCTCAGTCTTCCTCTGGCACCAAGAGTGAGAGGTCACTGACTGGTTACCAGCTTTTTCTGGCAATGCCTGCACCTCAGAATTGCAAAACCAGTTCAACAACAAAAACCAATTAAGCTTTAAAAAATAAACAAATAAATAAACAACAGCAACAACAACAACAAAAAAAACACATACAAACTGAAGAGCACCCTTATGTTGTTATCTGTAGGGAAACCTCAAAAACTGTCAAGGAGTGCTGAGTCAGGAAATTCTCCCTTAACTGCTTTTGTTGGAAACAAGGAACATTTCAACTTTATCCCTTCTTTCAGACAACACCCCAGGGGTATTCAAGTGCAACAATGCCATCATTCAGGGCTTTCCGTTCCCAGAGGGCTCTCTTTGAGCCAGGGCCAATACACAGTCTTATAGAGTCAAGGAGAGTAGATTTCCTCCAGCCCTTCTGAATTGACAGAGGAAGAATTACATGTCTGAATGCCACTGCCTTATTGCCATCTGGCCTCCCCAAAAGACACTCAGTTGATCATAGCCCCTAGGTAAGGACTGATGAGAAGATACAACACAAAAGCTAAAGTTTTGTCTCTGCCAGTGGCCAGATATACCAGGAGCCTCCTTAAGGGGCCACCCAAAAGCTGAAGGTAGCCCTCACATCATAGGGCAAGAGTTCAGCTGAGAACTGGGCACTGGACAAGAAGGACCACAGCACTATTTCAACTTTTTTTATACCTCAGGCTTCCACTCAGCATTTCCAAGTCACTCTGTCACTGCCTCCCTGTGTCCATTACTAGCTGATGACTCTGGGCTTCTTGGGCACCTCCAGGCAGAGAGAGAGA